TGTTTGTGTTTTCACAAAGAAACAATAAAAGAATACACAAGAAATTATTGAAAGTGATTATTTGATAAGGTAAGTAGGTAAAGGAGGAAATGAGGAATTAGGGACAGGATGGAGAGGTAGGCTTTGAATTACAGTCCGTGGGTGTTTTGCCTGCTTGATGTAGGGAGTTAGATGGAGTCTTTCCTTAGGTATAACTGCTCTCTCTATCTTCCATAGATTTGGCTGGAAAGACGGCAATAGAACAATGTCAAGCTGATGCCATCGTGGACACTCTGGATGACTTCATGTCACGTTTTCCTTGGGCGGAGAAAAATCAAGAAGTAAAAGTAATGCAATCAGTTTGCTGTCACTACTGTTAATCACATCCCCTTGGCAGAAATTGTTAGGTGCTTTGGAAACACTTTTTTAATGTAAATAATATGTATATGTTGTGATAGATCATCCAATTATACTAAAACTTTAAAGCAAAGTACAGCGCTCTGCTCCTCTCCTTCACACTAACCCTCCCTACAAGCAGCCCTCTTTTTCCTTCTTAGCTGTTTCCTTAGGAGTTATGCATGTCTGTATTTCTATAGTGTCTTTCTTTGTTCTGTCAATCCCAGTCAGTTTCTGTGGATTTCTTATTCCTCAATTAAGGATGATCTCTTAGTCATCCTCTCTGCTCCCATTTTTCTCAAGATCTCAATGTAATGATTAAAAGCTTTCTGATTGAGTCCATACCCCAGGATTGATGTAGGTTTACCTCTGTAGTTAATACACAGAACTATGCACTATAGTCTACTTTATTATTTCCTTTCTCATTTTTCCTTGTCAGAGTGAGTAACTGCCTTTTTTTATTCATTTAATAATTTTTACTCTTATCTGGGATTTTCTTGGGCCCGCCAATAATCTGCCCACAGCATTTTCCACAAGGTCACCTGCTGTTCCCAGCACATCCGGGCCTCCAGGCTGGAGCCCTGCAGCCTCCTGGGATTTCTGCCCAGCTGTCATCACTGCCCCTCACTAATGCTGCTCTCTGGAATTCCATAGCTGGATGTGACTCTTTCTTCCTCTACTGTCCTATCTATAGGGTGTATTTTCCACGCTAAAAGTGAGCACCAGAGTTTGATGCCAGCAGGTGTGACTGAGATAGTCTGTCCTGGGAGTCCCATGGTGTCAGTATGATTTGGTTGCTAGCTCTTCATGCCCAGTTGTTGTTCTGGTGACCTTGCTCCTGCGCCGGATGTTTCTGTGGTCCTTCTCTGGGCTTATCTTCTGTTTTCTCCCTGTTTTTTTGTGAAACAATTCTCTAATAGCTTATTGGTCGTAGGAAAAAAATGTGGGCCTTATTTGTCTTCAGGAGTTTTATTTGATGTCATACTTCTTTCAATTTGACTGAATGTATAATTGTATGTTGAAAGTGATTTTTAATTTGTATTTGGCATGCATTATGTATAGTCTTTTTGTTCTTGAGAAGTCTGAATGTAGAATAATTACTGACCTCTTATATGGAACTGATATCCCCCCTTTCGGAAAGACTGCAGAGCGCCGGCCTTGAGAATCCTAGTTCATAGTGACGAGTCTTTGGTATAAGCTGTATTAAGTGATTATGCTGTTTCCTTCATAAGCCTGTACAAGTTTGGGATTTGTGTCCTGAAAATTGAAGGAAATTTCCTTTAATGACTTCACAGATGACTCCCCACCCTTCGTGATTATTGCTGCTCTGTGCTAGCAGAATTCCTGCTATTCAGATGTTGAATCTTTTCTATTTCCCACTTTTTCTTTGTTACTCTGAATTACTTTCAGAAAGAATTTCTCAACTTTTTTCTGAATTCTAAATTTCTCATACTATGTTTTAAAATTTATTAAGATTCTTTTATGGTACTTTGTTCTTTTAAAATTTTTTAAATATTTATTTAATGAATACAATATTGTATCACCTTGTGACCCACTGTGGGAACTTTGCTTGTACAAAGTTGTTCTTTACCTCTCTTTGTTTTCATCTCTTTCCTTAGGAGTCAGACCTTTCTTTATAATCCATGATAAACAGTAGTGGATTCAAAAGTTGGCACAAGTCAGGCTCAGGCTCAGGTTGCTGTGGTTGATCCCCACAATTCAAGGGAGCCAAACCTACCCTGAAGGCATTCAGAACAAAAAAAAAATCCTTATGGGCCGGGGAGATGGCTCAATGGAATAAGTGCTTCACTGGCAAGCACAAGGGCCTGAGTTCAATCCCTGGTTTCCGAAAAAAAAAAAAAATTGCTGAGGTGGGGCTTAAATTTGGGGGCCTGAATGATCCTGAGAATATTCAGAAGAT